TGCAGATGTTAACCATCGGCAGCAGGAACTGAGGATATTAAGGAAAAATTTAGTCGAGAATGATTATAAAGTAGGATTGATTCAGAATTGCTTTAAAATACTAGCGAATAGGATGGATGGTAACATCTATTTGAGGCAAGATAGGCAGCTTAACCACTCATCTATGGTACTGATGTTACTGTCGTGCTAGCTTTCGAAATAGATGGACGAACTATTGATGAAGTGCGATATCAGGACAAGTTATAGAGAGAAAATAACATTTTCCTCAGAAATGCCATCGTTTCAGGAAATTTCGGACTAGTTTTCCGATTCGGGCCGCTATAAGGTTTTGTGTTCATGTGGTAGCGTCTATGTGTAGGAGACCTGTTGACCCATGCGTGAGATTTTATCTGAACATAAAGCAACCTGCAAAGGTTTGCGAGTCCAAAAGTCAGCACTGGCCGAACACATCGCCCACACAGGACACCAGATAGACTGGTCTAATGCTAAACGCTTAGCTGGGCATGGAGGTCATACCAATAAGCTGAACATTAGGCAATCTATATGAAACAACAGAACAGCCGACACCCTGAACAGAAGGAAGAGGTGTAGGAAATTAAGTGTAAACTACCTGTGGCTGTTGGATAGAATAAGAGAGAGGGAAAGGTAGAAAATTATTACTGAGCAAGAGGAGGCTTCATTAGCCTCAAATTTCATTTTGACTCTCACGCCCCACGTATCTCACAAGCATTGCATGCACACAACACAGGTGCAATGAAACGTAATCACATGCGGCACTATTGCAGGATCAAGCAAAATGAAAATAAGTGTTGTATGAAGGATGCTGCTGTTTGGTCACACTTGCATCCATTTCACGCTTCCGTTGCAGCCACTTCGCATGTCATCCGCGGCCACTTCACTTTTCAATAGCATGTATAAAAAGTATATGATCTTAAGCCAAATCATGAGATCTCTCACTAAGTGCATCGAGCCAAACTATGAAAAGTAGGCAGGATTTCAGCTGGCCACTTTTTTGCCTTTATGATCGGTGAATTATCGTGAAGCCTGCTGCTTTGCTCTGACGATGTCCGTCACATGACGGACGAAAGCTCAGCCATAATTCATCTGGGACGCAGGGCGGTGGGCCGGGAACTTATTCGCACAAATCCTCAATTACAGCTCGTTACAGCTTTTGATGAGGCCAACATACGAATCGCTCCCACTCGCCTGATCAGACTGAATGAAAGGTACTTCAACATAAAAAGTGAAGAAATTGCCTTAACTTTAATAAAAATCAAAAAGTAAATACAAATCACATTTCACAAAAAGGAATCCGTCCGCAAACTATGATAGGGGTGACCTTCGAATCACTTCTTAATAAACTTTTATTCCTAAAGGAAATGGGTCGAACAAGAGATTCCTCTCTTTAAAACGAGCCGAGATAGGCTAAATGTAGTTTCGCAAAATTCCATTAGTTTAGGCAGTTTTAGAGAAAGTTAGGGCCCCACAATTTAAGGCCTCTATTCGCCTGTTAAGATACAAATCAGATTTGTAGAACGAGATAATTTGACCTTTTGCTCGGTGTTCTCGCTATCGCTGCCAGAGTGTTTTCTCCGACAATTTACTTTTGCCTTCTTGCAGCATTCGACAGGTGAGCCGGTATATTTTCGTAAGTTCTGCTCACGATCTGATGAGGTGATTCCAGGACAGATGGTGGAGTTGCTCCCATATTTGCATGCATAGTCCTTACGATGCTGATGAATTTCAATTGGCTTTGCAGCTTAACTGATTTCTTCAGCCTGGGCAGACTGAGGCTTCGACCTCGGCTAGATTTCATCGGTACCACTTACTGGATTCATAATGGAACATTATCCCTCCCTCACATAATCGCATGTGCAAGTAGGTCACAGGCCGGTGTGGCATTCGATACAATTAAATCCTTTTAAAAATCACACTTATTGTATGATTTTCCATGAAGCAAACAGATATCTATCATAGATATTTTTCTCGAGGTTGTCACCCACTGGCAATCAAAGCTGTGATACGGGACGATTGTGTCATCACGATCCTCAGAACTCAGTTTCAAATCCCGTTGTAGTTGCTGTTAAGAACGAGATATACTTAAATCATTGTGGAATAGACTCCACTATCAGTCTCTAACTCTTCTTAAACGACCTAATCTGAATAGAGGCTTATTCGAGAATGACGGATAGTATTAAAAACTGCAAAGATAAAATATAACCGGAATCAAAACTCTTGAATCTAGTTTTAATGAGGTGTAATAAAAACACAAGACTACGTTTACGTTCCAGTTACTCTCATCGAAACCCCATAGAATGCAAGGAGCTATTGTGACTACAAAGCTAAAGTAAATAAGAGCAATGAAGACAAAGATTCTAGCTTTTTTTTATTGAGTAGTTTATCGAGACTTCCGGTGAACCAGATGGATGAGATGCATTCACCCTATTTCCTTTAAATTGATGAAGTACTGGTAGTTGCGTTTTCCCACAACGATATGAGTATAGCTGACGTTTCCAACACAAGGGATGAAAAAGTTTGGGCTTCACATCCTCCTTTCAGCATATATTCTTTACACAAGAAATTGAAGCATGCCGCGCCAGTCTTTGATAGAATATGCAAAATATGCTCCTTTTTGGTGTTACATGAAGTTGTAGAATTCGGCCCATCTTCAACACGTCCTAGGATAGATGACAACCAGTCAAGTCGCAACTAATGTGAATTATGTCGTCCATATCGCCTTGCAAAATATACTATTCACGATGGAGACTTCAATGACGTGTAAGTAGTTAGAAGAGGTCAAAGTTTCATTTCATCTATACCATCTTCGAAGGTCGAAGTTTAACTCCAAATTTCACAAACGCCATTAGGATCACCGGTTCTTTTTCAGCATGGATGCCTTAAGGAAAAAGTCACCCTTACTCTTCGTTACATCCCCAAAACCTAATTGCACAGGTCTTTATCCGAGTGACATCGGTAGCAGCGCACAGGCTCCTGGAGGCGGTACATCACCATCTCAATGGTCGGCGATCGTCGGCCTTGTCACTGCAATGCTGCTGCTCGTGATGCTGCTCTGCTCCATGTTGGCCCTGTTGAGGCGACGCTTTCTGACGGATGAACGGAAGTCAACTCAAGCTGGTAAGTGTACCTCTTTCCTGTTTCAAAGTGTAGGTGCATTGTCGAGAGATTGAGCAGGCAGTTGAGTAGGTGAGACGTCGAGGGGTAGATGAGGGGACGAAGGTGTCGGCAGAAGAGGCTTCCGGAGAGTTCGAGGCGAAAAACGTTGACAGGCCAGCATGGATCAGACTGAGGGGCATGAAAGCCGCAGGAACTCTTCTTTTAGACCGTTTTGGCTAACAACTATTGTCTCGCCCCCACGGTTGGATTCGCCCAGGTCTAACCAGTACTCTAACCTCGATGGGATTAGCGATCAAGTTTATGCTGGGCATAAGAGATGAATGGGTGACGAAAAGCAGTCGGCTTAATTGATCGATTTTCCTTAAGTGAATGCGAAAGAAAAGACCCGAAAAAGTAGTTTAGAAGTGGGAGGAAACTGTTAGATTGTATCCGTCCCTTAACTGTCCCAAATCTGATAAATAGACCCTGAGAAAATCAAGTCAAATGATGGATTGGGGCAAATATGGTGATTTTGAGGTAGAAGAAAGTAGAGAACCGGGCGACCCCTTCCAATTGTAAATGTCTTAGGCTTGGTCGCTTTGATTGCCTAAAGCAATCGTCTACAGAGTTGGACAAAAATGGATGAAGTAAGCGATAGCAAAAAGGAATGATTGCAGAAAATAAAGGGCATACAAAGAGAGAGAGAGTAAGTCCATGATATATCCAAAAAGGTCTGGGCTCTTTACAGAAAGACAATGAGCAGGATTAAGCAAAAAGTTCTGACTGAAAAATAAGTATAAAGTTGAGTGAAGCAAAAGATTTTGAAGTAAAATTCTGACTACAAAATGCTAAATAAACTGAGTAATTATGCATCTCATCTGCAGAAGGACTAGGTGCAACCTGTATCAATACTTATTCTAGAGCATCAAGACCATGTAGCTATATAAAAGCTAATAATAAAGACAAGATTAGTTTTGGTGTAAGTGGGAATTCCGTAGTCTCGCAAATAGAGACAAATATATGGGAAGTATTTAGGTCAATATGCCTGCAAAAGGTAAATGTATATTGAGAAATGTGAAGTGGATTTCAGCAGATACAATAAGGATAAGCATTATTAGGCAAAAAGGAATAAGAAAACAATACAAAGTTATGAAGAAATTAATGTTACATCGATAAGAAATAAATAAAATTGCAAAGAAAAGCGGGAAGAGAGACGGAAATATAAGACCGTGAAGATTTGTGAAAATATAAAATTGGGGACAAGATGGAATAAGATGAGATGAGATGAGATGAGAGAATGTGTTTTCATTTGAGAAAAGAGGATATGAGAAATGTGACAAGATTAGCCTAGATGAGATGAGATGAAATTTGAAAGTGGAATTTTCTATAAAAATATGAGTAGACCTTACGTTTCCATTAAATTGAACATATCCTTGCGTCCCAAAAGGAATTATAATCCAGGTTGGAATGCACTTTCGACCTCGCCTAGGTCTCGTCAGAACCCCGAGCGGGACTCGAACTCTGCCAATGCAGCGTTTAATCTCGGCACCACAAAATGTGATACGAGAAAATGTCTGGCCTTCCTTGAAAAGCACGTTTGCGCTGTCATTAAATGGCCCTCTGAGAAAATGCTGCTATGCTGTTTAACGCTTATGGCTCGGTTTATAATCACGTCTGTGAGTGCTGAAGAGGCCCAGTTGAGGCGAGTCTGCAATCCGCCATGTATAAGGAGATCAATCTAGAGGAATTCATTGACATTCAATAAAATTCAATGAGATTGTGAGGTCTTCTATTCAGTAATAGTGGGCAATTTAACTACCAGGCCTTCCATCACTTTATTCGGCCTAAGTTGACTGTTTTTTGTCCAAGACCTATTGATAGTTTATAAAACTTTTTATTTGATATATAATAATTTTGAGATATTTTTCAATCCTTACGGAAGTTCCTCGTTCCTGAAGGAAAAGTTTGTTAAACACGTGAATTATCAAGCCAATTTTTCTAGGAATTTTGCTAATTCAGATGACAGATTTAGTATTCTTAGATTGTATGGCTTATAATAAGAATATTTTTATTGTATATTGTGTAATGTAGCATTTTTAGATTCATTTCTTAGACAAAAGACAAAAGTGCTAAAACCTTAGCTCGAAGCCTCTATTAGTAGCTTCAAGTCAACGGATCATCAATTATTTCCATAAATTCGAATTGATCAGATCAATAGGAGGTAACTTTGCCTTTTATATGAACGTTTTGAGCTCTTGTAAAGTTTTGTCGAAGCGTAGTTTCTCGAGCTGACGGTAACTATCCTAATGCGACAAGTCTAAAACTCAGTATGGATTCATTAAGATCAAAGCACGGTTTCTCGAGTAATTCTAATTCAGATATGAACTGATATCTTGCTTCGATTTCCGGTTAGGCCAGCTTACTACTCCTTTCCTCCGAAATTTAATTGCGAAACGAATATTTAGCAATACTTTCTTTCGTATAGTTTTTTTCGTTTTAACCTAAAGTCCGATGTCTGCCAAAGTGTACTAGTATCATATGCTCTGTGATAGGGAAATTTTCCATGCTGAACTGGGGAGACGCCTTGCTCTTTGCTTGGATTCTCACATTTGCACTTTTTCCAAAACGTTATTCTCATCCGGGATCGGCTGCAGTTTTAGACTACCACCCGTTTCATCAGCTCTTTTGGCAATATTCCAACTGTGAGTGTATGGTTCAAGTGCTGGGCCAGACGATAAGTATGACTTTTAAGGTAAAACAAGCCTTATTTGGTAGATAAGCATGTTTTTTACAATAGCAGTGTTACACTGCCGGCTTTGTAGTTAGTCATTGTGCAGCCTGATTTATTGCACGGTTTACAAGTTTTAAATGGCATGGATGAACCAGAATTGAAGATGGCATCACGAGGCGAACTCGCATGCAAAGTGTTGGCTTTTCGCAGATTCACCCCAGTTTCATAGTCAAAACTGGTACACCTTCCACTAAGGGATTTGTAGATGAGAGCACATTAGAACAACAGGAATAGTCGTCTAGTGTCTGCAATTGCCAAGCCCGATGGACTCTTCACTTTTATCCTACACCAAGAGGCTGTTGCTGCTTCAGTTGGCATATCCGACTTTCATGACGAATGTGGCGTGGGAACAGACAAAATATTGAAATATGAACGACGTTTCACTTGTCGAATGTCAGGGTTTGCCGGACGATTTAATCGTCAGTTGGGGATGGGTCGAAAGCTGGACTTGATTGTGCCACCTGATGAGTCCACAAAAGGGAAATAAAGGCGGACAAGTGAGACTGTGACGACGGAATCAGTGAACACGGCTTCGGTGTGAGTGGGAGCTCAAGACATACATTTTAGGTATATACTAGTCGATCTATCTACATCACGAATAGATATATGTCCTGTATGGCTCTGTGTGTGCGCGCGTGTGTGTGTGTGTGTCGAAAACTGACTCGAGGGAGCGGCGTCAAGGGGTGTCAAATAACCCAGGCTGGAAATGAAACGGCGATGAAGCCAAAAGCAATAAATAAAGTAGCGAAATGTCTAGAGACGAGAGCTCCTGTGAGTAGGTGATTGTAATTTTTTTCAATCACTGTGAGCATGCGTCCCAATGTTTGTGTGTAGATGTGTGTAGATGTGTGTGTACAGTTGTGAATTCTTGTGTGTGGCCGCACCAAGTCTGATTATATCTGAAAGTAAGGGGGAGTATGTTCGCAAAAGAATAGGAGAGTGCCGACGACAGGAAGGCCGAAAAGAGCATCGAACCTCTTATTTGACAATCTTGCAACAATTGAGTTTAATTGAAAGATATAAAGAGAGAGAATTAAAAATTGATTTATTGCACTCCATCCAGGCCAGAGAGCTATATCAAGGAGATAGTCCACGCGTCTGAGACAGATTATTTCGCAAGAATAAACCTCCCTTTTCAGGCTTATTTGAAAAATGTCTATGTAGGCCGATCTTTAAGTTAGGATGGACAACGGGCCTTAAAAGAATTTGTCGGTTTTCAAGACTTCCAGAAGATCTGCATTCACCTTATTTAGTTCGAGGTGACGAAGGACTGATAGTTGAATTTTCCCACAATTGTATGAGTAGGCCTCATGTTTCCAGTGGAGTTTACAAAGCCTTGCTTCCCCAAAGATATTCTCATCCAGGCTGGGGTGGACTATAGTTTCAACCTCGACTAAGCTGGTCTCATCAGCACTCCCAGCGGGACTCGAACCCGGCTTGCACTAGTGCAGATTATAATCTTGACACGCCAGCCACTACGTCACAATGCCATGAGCGCCACCGGGTCACAGGGCTTAAGTGAATTTCAAGAAAGCTTAGGCCTGGTGAAATTGTCGACGAAGTAATCGAGTACATTACTTAGTAATGTGCTCGATACCCGTTGGGAAGCAAAGCTATGTGAAATTCAATGGAAAAAGGAGGCCTATTGACGTGTTTCTGTGAAAAGTCAATTACAGATCCCTCATCATCCTAAACGAAGTAGAGTGTAGGACAAGATTTTGCCAAGATGTTCAAAAGGCTAAGTATGTATGGGCATTAAATTGGGTTCTGTAATAAAATAGAATTTTGCTGATGTTTAAGTGAATTCGTAAACGCCATCTCCTCCGAAATGCAATTCTTATCCAGCCTGTGAAATAAACTATTAGTATAAACAATTCAGTTTGATATACTTAATGGAGAACAAATGTTTGTATGATGTTAAAAAGTCTTAACAGAATTATGTATGCTGCCTTGCGACTTATGCTGATCGAGTAACGCTACGAGGCTAGGTTCACGCCAGCCATGGAATCATATTATTTGCCTATGAGAATGCCAATTCAATATATCAAGGCTGCTTGAAGCTGGGCGGATAAAAATAATCGCACTCACTCTAGGCCAGCGGGATTTTATTCTGGGTTGTGAATATCCTAGCTACGTTTACTACTCAACTTCATACTCATAGGTGCTAGTAACTCACAGGTCATATTCGACGTTCCAGGCAAGTCAGCTTTCTTCCAAGTTACACTTTGTATAACGATATTGTCGATTGAGCAAATATTTGTTTGCCATTGGAATCGACCACATTACTTAATTTCGATGTGAGTAGGTTTCGACTACTAACCGTAATTCTCGAATAATAATTTGGTCGCCCTGAGGGATTTGGGAAACAATGGTCACTTTTTTCACTTTGCCCTAAAATAAGCTTTCGGGATGCAGCACTAAATAAATTTAAATGGCATCGGGACGCCTTTTAACCTCATTGTGAGAGCCTCAAGCATCAGTTCTCAATTCAAATGAAACTACCCATTGCTAACTATTTGTATCAAAGTTATCTATCAACAGATATAGGATTTTGGCAACTGCAGGGCAAAATATACTAATAATAATTCATTAATTGTGTCAGCGAAGTTCTCTGGTAATTGGAATTCGTCAGAAACAGTCGATAAACTCCTAGTAAGCAGCATGACACCTTTCTGAATATGATGTCAATCGGATTTTTAAGTTGGTGTTAAATCCCACATCGACAGACAAACCAGGTGTCCTCAGCCATTTAGAGAAAATGGATATGGACAATAATTCCTAGGTTCGAGTCCCATATCTTCGCACAGAATACACTCAGGTGAAACGTTGTATGCACCTCCTTCTTGGCAATGAACATAAAAACTAGCCATTTTTGTAGTATTTAAGGGACATATAGAATAACTACTTCACAAAAATGGTTTAGAAAATGACACTGGTCTGTGAAAAAACCATATAGTCCTGTTGTAATGCCTGGAGTTCGGTCGAATTAAATCAGCACCCTACATTGTGGACTGGATAAATTCAATAAAGCAGACGATGTAAAGAGCTGAAAATATGGAGGCCTGTGTGTAGCCCAACAAAAAGTAGCCTATTACTACAGCTGGTGGTCGACAGGGGTGACAATCGCCCAGACAAGATGGAGGAATTGAGAGTGTGGATTCACTAATCCATTCTAAAATTTGAGAATGCCAAAAATTGTGTGCGTGCTTTTTTGGACTCTAAACCGCAAAGGTCTTCAGGAATAAATTTGATGGTAAATTCAACGCTTAGATGCAGAGGGAAGCTCAATCAAGAGGGACACAATATAATTGAGCGTATTTAACACTTTTTGTCCAACCTAATATTTGCCTTTTTCTGGAGTTATTCTCCAGACTTCACCAACATCCATCATTCTATGAGCAGGAACCAAGTGTTTCTATTTCCTGACAGTTATGCGGAGAATTCAGGCTCTTAGAGGCAGTCACTGTAACAGCCGCTGCTAGTTCATCGTAATTTTCAGCAACGGCAGCAAGACACAAAGGTCCAACTCTGTCTGGTTCCCAGCTCTCGCCAGCCAAAAGAGATGCCTGATTTCTAGCCTTGTCAGCCGGTCTGCTCTTCTCAAAGAGTTTGGAGGGACTTACCCGACCCGGGACGCAAAGAGATTGTTGCATGCCCGACAAAAACCGGATACATGGGTGCACACACACCAAGATAGGTAGATAGGTATATAGATAGATAAATAGATAGGCAGTTAGCTAACTAGATAGATAGATGGGTAGATAGATATGTAGGTATCTAGATAGATAGATAGATAGATAGATAGATAGATAGATAGATAGATAGATGGATGGATGGATGGATGGATG